AATCCAGACATGTATCCAATAACTGCCAACTGGTGCGATGAAGTATGAGTTATAATAGTAACAGGTATTCAGTTAATTTGTGGCACCTGGCTCAGGGAGCACAACAGTGGGAAGAAAAAGGAAGTAAGCCTTTCAAGATAACATGTTTAGGAGCTTGACCAGTCCTACTGGGTTTGTTTCTAATCTACCGGAATGCTAGTGTCTTCAAACTCTTGAACACTACAAGCCCTCTCTATCACCACTTCCTTGCCAAAGGTGTTATAAATAGTTTCACTCCTGGAACTATCTCTGTCTACTTTCTATCCTTCAATGTCTTTTCTGTCCCTGTGCCACAGTCCTAATACTCCATTGTATTAGCTGTTAGGCCTCCATAGAATCACCCCAGTCTTTCATTCCTTGGTAAACTATTTCCAGACTACCTTCTCAGCTCTAATATGATGAAATATTTGTTTTGGCATGACTATGCATTCTTAAGACTCAGAATTTGTCTTTGTCTCATCTTTGCTATTTATTATCTTGAAGCCAAACCACTTACCTCTATTCATTCAAACCTATCAATGAAAACTTTTGGCCCCATAGCATATAAACTTCATTTAATTTAATCACATCTTCCAATAATCCCTAATATGCTATTTATGTATTTGGGGAATACTCATATTTCACTTGCTTTGTAGTTATTTGTTACTTTTCTCCTAATGATTGACAATACTAGATTTGCCTTTTTCTTTAACCATTCAGGATACAACTTTTCAACAACTATAATTTTGTCATAAATCAGTCTCTTATATTGGCAGTTTTATATATTTAACTTTGATAATACTAAATATATACAGTTTTTATTGTTTTTCTAAAGCCAAAAATTATAAATATGCACAAAACAATATTTAGAAATGTAAAAACAGTGTCCCTTTCTAGAACTGAACACCCTATATCAACACTCAATATATTGTGTAGTAATCTGTTAGGATTAGCTAGAAATCCATACTGTACCTTTAACGTGTGACATGAACTAATGTGGGTTGAATAATTTGACTTACATAAAAGAAGAAGCGATGTTGGTCCTTGATTGCTTTTTTCATTTGTCTGTTTTAGTTTTTTTTTATTGCCAACACTTTTTATGTTTATTCTGGAAAAAACAAAATAGAAAAAGACAAACTTTTTTTAAAACATAGCTATCAACCAGAAAAAATTAAAATGACTTTTAGCAGACTGGTCACAGTATAACATTTCATATTTTTGGCTACGTACATTTATACTTTTCCCCTAAAAATAAAATTTTTCTGAACACAATATTTTTTTTTCGTCATACTCTCTTCATTCTCCTTTTGTGCAGATGACTGGTACATCATCTCATGATTCTAGGCTTCTCAAGTTAGTTTAGCACAAAATATTTCTTCTTTTTTTATAAAACTATTTTTGGATTTCTGTCACTGGAAAAACTCTGGGATGTGAATTTCCCTATGTCCCCTCGTAGTAGGGTGAATCCATATTTAATACATATGTCACCCAAAGCTAAGTTACAAATATCTGCTTCTCCCTCCCCATCCCCCACCATCAAGAATATCTTTTTATGTCCATAAACATTTATATATAACAGCATTTTCAAAAGTACATTGTCTTTTATTGATGAACATAATTTATTTAAACACCCACTATTGTTGGACATTTGTGGATTTTCTCCCCTTGTTTTTATTTTATTTTATTTTTTTGCTATTATAATCAATTTTGCAGTAAATATCATTAGAGCTAAATCTGTACACATTGCTAAGTTTTCCCTTGTGATAAATTGTAAACTAGAATTGCCAGGTTAAAGGGTAGGCTTGTTTTTTTTTAAGGCTTTTGACATATATTGCCAAGTTGCTCTTTAGAAATCTATCACTGAGATCTCACCAGAAGTATTGAAATATACTGTATTTCCAAACCCTTATGAAATTTCTCTTTTAAAACAATTGCTGGCCGGGCGCGGTGGCTCAAGCCTGTAATCCCAGCACTTTGGGAGGCCGAGATGGGCGGATCACGAGGTCAGGAGATCGAGACCATCCTGGCTAACACGGTGAAACCCCGTCTCTACTAAAAAAATACAGAAAAACTAGCCGGGCGAGGTGGCGGGCGCCTGTAGTCCCAGCTACTCGGGAGGCTGAGGCAGGAGAATGGTGTAAACCCAGGAGGCGGAGCTTGCAGTGAGCTGAGATCCGGCCACTGTACTCCAGCCTGGGCGACAGAGCGAGACTCCGTCTCAAAAAAAAAAAAAAAAAAAAAAAAAAAATTGCTAATGTAATACGTCTTTTCCTAACCAAATTGAGCATTTTAAAATATTGCCCATAATTGCAAATTCTTTACTACAAAGTATTTCATAAATCAAGAGTCCCAAAACTTTAAAAATTTTGGTAGCTTGTGACCAGACACTGTGGCTCACGTGTGTAATCCCAGCACTTTGGGAGGCCAAGGCAGGAGGATCACCGGAGGTCGGGAGTTCAAGACCAACCTGACCAACATGGAGAAACCCCGTCTCTACTAAAAATACAAAAAAAAAATAGCTGGACATGGTGGTGCATGCCTGCAATCCCAGCTACTTGTGAGGCTGTGACAGGAGAATCGCTTGAACCCAGGAGGTGGAGGTTGCAGTGAGCTAGATTGTGCCATTGCACTACAGCCTGGGCAACGAGAGCGAAACTCTATCTCAAAAAAAAAAAAAAATGGTAGCTTGTTTTTTTACATTTTTTGCTTATAGTTTTAGATGATGTCCAGTGAAGAAAGAAAAGGAACCCTAGCCGCAACCTTTCTCTCATCAAAACAAACCACTCTAGTGCCACTATTCATAAACTCATCCCTGGTGATCTCTAAGTTCAAGGAAATAAAAAGAGTATCCATCTTATAAAACTTTTAATAACCCCTTTTGGGCCAGGCTCGGTGGCTCACGCCTGTAATCCCAGGACTTTGGGAGGCCCAGGAGAGAGGATCCCTTGAGTCCAGGAGTTGAGACCAGCCCGGGCAACACAGTGAGACTCTGTCTACCCTGCCCCTGCCCCCAAAAAAATTAGCCGGGTGTGCTGGCATGCACTGTAGTCCTAGCTACTTAGGAAGCTAAAGCAGGAAAATCACTTGAGCCCAGGTGTTCAAGGTTACGATGAGCTATGGTTGTACCACTGCACCCTAGTCTGGGTGACAGAGCAAAACACTGTCTCTAAAAAACAAATGAATAAAAATAAATAACTCCTTTTGTAAATAATGCTTTATTAAAGTTGTTAGGTTGAAGAGAAGTGTACTTGTTTCAAACCAAGTTCTCATTAAAATATTATCTACAAAAAGATGTATCAGTTCCAATTAGTATTTTATTGTAGTATCTTATTTGATTTTGGTCAAGTTCTTTATGGCCTTGATATTCAAACATAAAAATTCAAATGCAAAAATCACAAGATACAATTTTGTGAGTGTATCTTTGACATCCTTGGTAATTAGTAGATTAGGTAGCTCTTTAGAAAAGTATATGTTTTCAGTGAAAATTTCTTTTTCTTTTTTCTGAGACAGGATCTCAGTCTGTCATCAAGGCTGGAGTGCAGTGGCACCATCTCGGCTCACTGCAACCTCAACCTCTCGGGCTCAGGTGATCCTCCCACCTGTGCCTCCCAAGTAGCTGGGACTACAGGCATGTGCCACCATGCCTGGCTAATTTTTTACTTTTTTGTAGAGATGGGGTCTCACATGTTGCCCAGGCTGGTATCAAACTCCTGGGCTTAAGCAGTCATCTTGCCTCAGCCTCCCTAAGTGCTAGGATTACAGCCGTGAGCTATTGTGCCCACCCAAAAATTGCTATATAACAGAAACACTAGTTTATTCTAACTATGGAACATAGGTTATAATATAAAGCCTTAGTTTCTGTTAAACTTTGGCCCTTTTAAACTATAATAAGCCTTGTCTTTTTACTTTCTATCAAAATCAAACAAAGTTGAAAATTATCAGTTCAGGATATTACAGAAACATATTCTCTTCTCTTTTCTCTTCTCTTCTCTTCTCTCTCTCCTCACCCGCCTGTGCCTTCTCTCTCTCTCTCTCACACACACACACACACATACACACACGGACTCTCTCTGTCCTGTTTCTGACTATGTATGCCACATTTTTTCTTAAGACGAATGTGAGGGATATAATAGTATACTTCACTATATATTTTTTTTTAATTTCACACTGGGTCTTTTCCCTCTTAAATACTTGGAGAAGATATTACATAGGTTAACAAAAGTAGTATGTGGTCCTAGCCTTTAACCAGATTTTACTCTAGGATAGAAAACACTTTGTTTTTTTGGAAGACCAAGATATTGAATTAGATATAAGAGTTCACCTCAATAGGTTAGTTTTCTAATTCTCATCTTTTATGTAATGTTTAAAGATATTTCTGTTTCTTGATTCTTATTCTTTTTTATTACTTTATATATTAAACATTCATTATCAGAACCAAAATAAAACTTTCCCCAATACTGAGTCAAAAATTGATGTGTAAATAAGTCTTTTCATTCCTGCAAAACAGACTGCTTCCCTCATATTCCTCCTAGGTTTATGGAGACTAGCTAGATAGCCTGCTTCCAGATTCTTCACTTTCTAATCTACCTCTACCATACCCCAGAAATCGTGGAAAAATCCAAAGTCATTTCTTTAATTACTCCCAGTTGCAGTATTAGTCTTGCAGTAGATTATTAATCAGCTCACATGCCTCAGTGATTCATTGATTGCTTTCTGGTGCACTGTCTGGAAAACTGATAATGATTTTTCTTTCTTTCAAAAGAATGCAAGAAGGAAATCTTTCTTTTCTTTATTTTTGTAATATAGATTTATATCAGTAATGATGAAATTAAGTAAAGTAAAATAAAGTATTTTTTAATTCAAAGCTAATGAAAAATAGCAAGTCTTTTTAGAAAATTTAACCATTAGTAGATAAACTTTATTATGAGAAAAGTTACAGGGCCACTCTTGAAATGGATACTATATTATTGGCCTTTTTTTTTTTTTTTTTTTTTTGGTAAAATTTTCCCACTTGTCTAATTTCTTTTTGAAAGCAACAGTAAAGTACAGAAGAATGTTTTTGTAAACTTCTCCCTTATGTTGTATGCCTACCTAAAGGCATACTTCCACTTGCAGGACAGCATAGTGTCTTAAATGAACCACTGATTTTTCATGAATTTTTTTCCTGTGATTATGCAAACTTGCACCTTGTCTTTGACAGTAGAAATAAAATCATAAATCTGATTTTGCATATTTGCTGTAAGGTTGGCCCAGAGTAGCAAGGCACAAAATCAAGACCATGGTACTTGAAATTTTTTAAATCCTAAAAATATATTCCATTAGATGATATAATTTAATTATACTCCAAATGTTTTATCTAAAATGCATTTTCTGTCTTTTCCTTTTTACTCTTGTCCTCACTTTTAATGATCCATCGGCTGACAGTGTCTTTACATCCAAAATGCAAAGCAGACAAATGGGCATATCAGGGAAGAACATGACAAAAAGCACCAGCATCAGTGGAGACATGTGCTCACTGGAGAAGAATGATGGCAGCCAGTCTGACACTGCAGTGGGCGCCTTGGGCACCAGTGGCAAAAAGCGGCGCTCTAGCATTGGTGCCAAAATGGTAGCTATTGTTGGTCTGTCACGGAAAAGTCGCAGTGCTTCTCAGCTCAGCCAAACGGGTAGGAATTTTAATGTTACTTTTAACTTCATATTTGAGTTGTCATTACAAGATATATTTCTTTTCTCCTACTCATTTTATTGCAGTAATATGTGGATGATGACATGTTCCAGAGGGAAAGGGTATTTTAAACTAGTTAACCTTTCTGAGATCAACAATGATGTTTTTTCCAGTGATCAATGAACCTGCTTCAAAATGAACCTTGGCTAGTGTTCTTAAAATGTAGATAACGTCTTTCCTCCTCAGGGAAGAGTTATGCTGTGACACCCAATTGCCAGTTGCTGATCCTTTGTAAAGATAATCTGAAATGGGGGATATTTGCTTTTCTTTAGGTTCCTCAAGTTGGAACCAGCTAAATTAATTTCCATTCCCAGCAAGATACTGTGAAGATGACTCCTTATATTTTGTGTGAATAATACAGTTCTTGTATTGCTGACAACCCAACTTCCTTTTCAGTTTGTAAGCAACATTTGCCAGTAATGTCAATTTTCTCACTGCAATTTTTATTTCCCTGTTAAAACTTCAAACAGCAATATTCTCCAGCAGCAGGGATGGAGGAATTTTCTGCTGACAGTGAAGATATTCAAAGCTTTGCTACTTTAAAATTCAGTTGCTAAATCACATCTGCAAAAACAAATTATAGACAACACTCCTACTCAGAAAAGCCACTGTTAGCAATTAAGAAATTTGTGAATCAGAGCGATGTCTTTTTTTCAAATGGGTGTTGATAATTAAACATTAAATCCTTGGTATCTTGGAAATAATAGCATATCTTCTACTTAACAAACAAATGCATGTAATATGGTGTTTCTTTTATTGCAAAATAAATTATAGGCAGCTGGATTAAATCTAATTTATGCTTGACTACTAGGACTCTTGTACATAGAAGTCAGATATAAATCTACAGCACAAAATAATTTAAGGTTACTTTAATTCTTGGACCCGGCTAATCTTGATTTTTACAAACTAATTGTAATTCTGGGAATTTAGTCTTATTTAACAATATTATGTTGAAATAATTATTTGGTGGTATTTTTTATATTCTGGTTGTAACTAAAGATATTTAAAGTGATTTTTGTTTTGGATTTTTTATTTGTTGTTTTAAAATACTATTTTGCATTTTAATGTATAAATAGAAGTTTAATTTATGGACAGTGGACATATAGATCATACTTTAATGACTTAAAATTGTTAATATTTATACATAATTAACTATGTTGTGCTAATATGATATATGTTGGCCTTTTGAAATTGAGATTTTTTTATACTTCTCTAATAGAAGTTCATTGCATTTTTTTCTTTAAAACTTACAAACATCTGTCAATCTAAAATTTCTCTAAAAAATAAAGTCTACTAATGTTTTTTAAATTAGGAACCTAAAATGGATGTTAATAAGACTACAATTTAGAAAATATATGAAACGAAATAATTAATTCCATTCATTCAGGATTGTTATGTATAAATATTGCCCACTTACCGTGTGCCAGACACATGAAGAAAAAAGATGAATAGGAAATCATTTATAACCCAAGTTGCTTACAGTCTAATAGAGGACAGATACTTAAACAGATTGCTTCAAGATCATACACCAGTGGTGAATCTAGAATTACATAGAAGGTACACTGGATGCTCAGAGGAAGGCCACTTGACTCAACCTGGAATTCCAGGAATGAATTCCTGGAGATGATACCTAATCAGAGGTATCATCTCAGTGACTCGAGTGGCTGCTAACCAGGTAAAAGACAATTAGAAAGGTGTTCTAGATAGAAACCATAAGAAACAAGGCATAGATCCATGATATGTGCAGGAATGATAAGCAGTTACGTAATTTCAACATAAAATATTAGACTGAATAGCTAGAGATGAGGCTAGTAGATAAATAGAGACCAGGTCATAGAGCATCTCAGATCATAGTTATAGATGATAGGAAGTTTTAAAAGGTTCTCAGTAGAGGATTGATATGGTCGTATTTGTATGTACTTTATGTATAGTTTTTAGCCCATTCAGGCTGCCATTTGTTTATGTAACAAATAATTTTTGCATACCTATCATTTGCCAGGGACTATCCTAAAGAAAACAGAGACAGAAATCCTTCTTCTCTTGGAGCTTATATTCCATTGGGGCTACAATAAAGAGGTAAACTTAAGTCCACATCTGGAAAAGAGCATTTAAGGGTGAATTAATGGAGAAGTACAATAATTCAGACAAAAGATAAGCTCCTGAACTCAGTCAGTTGTAATAAAGATAGAGAGGGGATGATAGATTTAGGGAATTTTTAAAGAGCAAAATTAGTAGTCAGTTACCTGATTAAGTGACTAATTGGATATGAGGAGGTGAAGGAGAGAAAATTCTAAGATGACTCCCATATTTCTGACTTGCATCACTGAGTGGGTGGTAGTGCCATTAATGGATATTGGAAATATAAGAAGAGTGGTTGGGGCATTACAGCACTTTGGGAGGCCAAAGCAGGCAGATCACTTGAGGTCAGGAATTCGAGACCAGCCTGGGCAACATGGCAAAACCCCATCTCTACAAAAATATAAAAGTTAGCCCTTCGTGATGACTCATGCCTGTAGTCCCAGCTACACTGGAGGCTGAGGCATGAGAATTGCTTCAACCCGGGAGGCAGAGGTTACAGTGAGCCAAGATTGGCTGCTGCCCTCCGGCATGGGTAACAGAGGGAGACTCTGTCCTGCACTCCCCCACACACAAAAAAAAAAAAAAAAAAGAGAGAGAGAGAGAGAGAGATGTTGGGGAAAGAGGAAGAGAATGAATCTTTGATTTAGGAAATTTTGAATTTGTGATATCTGTGAAAATTTCCAAGTGGAAATGTCTAGAATATTTAAATAAACACTTTTGAAGCTTGTGTCAGGACCAGGGACATAAATATGAGAGTTACTTAAATTCATGAACATGGCTGAAATTGCCCAAGAAGAATGATACAGATAAAATAGCAGTAGGCCAAGACAATGCCCTGTGGAGGATTAGCATTTTAGAATTGTGCGGAGGAAAAGTCCAAGAAGAAGAAGAAGGAACAATCACAAAGAAAAGACCAAAATTATGAGAGGATAGTATCACAGAAGATAAGATGTAGAATATTTCAAAAACAGAAGGGTCAGTATTTCTAAATGACCAATTTCATGTCTTTACATTTCTGGCATAACTATCCCATATATCTTTCTTTGATAGTATTTGTATTACAAAATTATAGATCTATTGACCATACATTGAGATTCTGTAACAATACCGATTTGGTTTTCATGTATGAGTAGTTATAGGTTTTTATCTCAAAAACATTGACATGTTGGCAGATTTAAGAAATGTAGTCTTGTTTTTTGTTATATCATAAAGTTCTTCCTATCTATTACATAGCAAATGACAAAGTCTCTTTGTCATTGTCTTCATTACATTTGGTGACATTATAATGGGTACATTTTTAATAGTTCTTAAAATTTGCAGTTATTCATACCTACTCACCTAATAGATTTGACCTGCTGACAATAGAATTCAGATTATCTCTCATTTTAAAGCCCAAGTTTAACTGTAGCATAGCCAAAAATTACTGGACTTCAAACTTTCAATGGATTTCTAAGTTCTGTATTTGTGTGCATATGTATATGTGTTTAAAATAAGATTTTAATTATGCTTTATTTTCTTAAGAAAAAAATGGAATCATAAGCTCCAAAAGTATTTGAAACAAATCTTCAAATTTCAGTATTTGAGCATATGTTCTAGTAGCTTAGATATTAAATTATCAAAAGTAATTATCTACAGCAATGAACTAGTTTTATAATGCTGTATCTTATAATAGCTTCTTTCTTCAGACATAAATATATAAGATGTATTGAGTAACTTGCCTGAAACAAATAAATTCTTTGTGTGTTTTCCACTAGTATGTTTGTATTTTCAAAGATTTGTTTAGTATTCTCTTTATTTTCCTGGTCTCTGTGTGAAGATCTATATGTAATTAAGGTAAAGAGTCATTATGTCATGAATGATATATCCTAATGATTTCAGTTTTTTGAGATGGTATTTACTTTTGTAAAAATAAATATTATTGTACCATCATGGATTTCAAGATCAGACAAGACAACTTACCTCCCTTCTGAAGAGTAGAAACTCAGCAAAACGGGGTCTTCCTAAAGAATAGTGAAATGATTCTGGATGATATCACAGTAATTATATGTAAATAATAATTGGCAAAGGAGAAACCTTTTATAAAGGTGTGTTGACCAACACACATAGTGACTAAGTTATATCTCTCTTCTGTCACACTATTTGTATGTTCCATTGCCTGTTAATTGGAAGCTCATCTTTTAAATCACTGTTTCTAAAGAATTGAGTATGACTTGATAGGCATCATAACCTAGTAGAGAGCATATAGAGGGAATAAGGAGACTTGAAATCTATTGCTTACTCTGAGTTATATATTAAATATGGACTCTTTAAAAACTTACCCAGCAGATCTGAGTCATAGTATGTCTGTCTGACTGATGGAATTGACATGTGCTATCCTAACAGCATTTCTATAAAGATAATATTTTTAAATGTATGAAAAGTACATTGAAAACTTAAAATCACATAGTAGGTATAAGACATCAATAGCCAATTTATCCTCATGGGGGAATCAAGAATTCTGTTTTAGACATGATTTTGATTTTGAGATGTCCATCAGACATCTAAGTACAGTTATTACATGATTAATTGCATAGATTAATTCAGAGCCTAGTAGATCAAAGCAAAGGATGTAATTTAGGAGTAATCCGCAGGTAGCATTTGAAGCCATGGAACTGGATAAGATTATTTATGGTAACTTCAGTCAAGAAGAAAACTAAAGACTGAGCCCTAAGACATTCTACCATTTAGAGGTCAGGAAGAGGAAGAAAATTGATCAAAGACTTAAGAGAAAGCAACCATTAAAGGAAATGTAAAAAAGGATATCTTAGAAACCAAATGAAGAAAATATTTTAAGAAACAGGACATGATCAACTGTGGCAGGGG